CATGGCTGGCTGGGGAATTCTGGGAGTTGAAGTCCACACATCTTCAAGTTGCCAAGGCTGAGAAACACTGGGATAGACACTTCTGATCAGTTGCCTCAAGCCTATTTCATGTGCCATGACTTGCTTAGATGGGAGGCCTTCTTCTGTTTTCCTGGGAAAATACTGCTTCCATGCCAGAACACCTTGGTCCATATTCTGTTGTAAGGAACCTCCACAAATGGTAAGCCTTTTTCACTGCAGTAAGCACACTGTGTAGATGAGGCCAAAATCTATTCCTGGTGTTTTAAAATCATGAACTGGTATTGCATTGGCTTAATAGAGTTTTGGACATTTCTACTGCTTAAGAAACCTTCCACCTTAATTTATAAATCACTTGTTAGATCATTGGTGCAACTTAGCTGCATCCATATTATACCAAACTCAGGAGAATAGCTTCTGGACTTAGTGTGGGTGAAATTATAAAGCTACTCTTAATGTGCTGCTTTGTTCACACAGCAATTCAGCTTTCTTTTGTGTTCCTCCTATTCAGATGTATGAACTACGCATGCATGCGTGCATTTATTTCTGTTGCTCAGGGAAATTAGTCTCATTAGCCTTTCGGCTTCTAATTGCCCAAAGAATACGGCAATTAGTTTTTTTAAAAATCCAACCTCCTTCTTCTGTTGGGGCTGCTCCAAAATGGATATGCATTTGAAAAGAGGGACAGGAAAGAATTCTGTTAAAAAGCAAGGTGAAGTGGAAAGGGTAACCATGAGTTTGGTATTGAAGACAGGCCTGTTAATCTAAACGGGCTGCTCCCATTCTCTCTGAATCTACAGATGGCCAGCGGACAGATCAAGCATTGCAACCCTGGGAGAGCAGCTACACAGCTGGATTCCTTGTAGCACAGCATTGCCAGTATTTCTTGAACGCACAAGCCTATTTATATGCTTTTCAGACTTGTATTGGAAAGGGACATTTCGTTTCGCTCGTGCCATTGACTGAAAGAGCCACAAAAGATGGAGACACATGCGCGCACACAGAGCAGTTCTGTAGAAAATAGGCTACAGGACAGAATTGTTCTGCTGTTCAAGGTCCTGCTGAGAGGGTGTCTGCTGAACGCCTTCTAGCATTTGTAGGAAGGTAGAGAACTGGGGGAGGCCAACAAAAACACTTCTCTTTTCTCTCCTTCCAGAAGCCTAAGAGTATTTTCATAAACCAGTTTAATAACTACTTGTTCTTTCTGAGTCATGAACAACGGCAGAGTGTTCCGCGAGCACCTTCTCAGATCCTAAAAGGAAAAAGGGAGTTAGCAAGTTAGTGGGTTATGTGTACACACTGAGTAATTATTGTACAACAAGAGAGAGGAAACACGTTAGGTTGTTCAGCATACCACCAAGAAGAAATGTCCTATCTGTTCTAGGGCAGATGAGAGATTCTGCCATTTTAAATTTTGTATGACCGTGCTGACAGAAGTATACGCTCCCGTTTAGTCTGAGTTGAGCTAAACTTTGGTTTATTGTTGCTGAGGACTGACAGAATAGTACTTTCCTTTACGGGCTGTGTTTGTCAGCCAGTATCTGCTGGTGGATTCAAACTGAAAGTGAAATTTTCCATCCCTGTCATATCACAAGAAACCACTGTATCATTCTAGAATCCAGATATATCTTATGGAATTCCAGAGACATGCAGTAAACCTCTATCCTATCAAAATATAAATCAGAGATTTGGATTTTTTCTCCGATACACATTTTTCAGGTATCTCCACAAAAGTTAGCACTTAACATTGCTGTAAGTGAAAATTATACTGAAATAACTATTTGAGGATTTCACCTGAACCCTATGTATCCTCAGTCCTTACATGTAAATGCAAAGCTTTAAAACTGCGTTATAAGAAATATGGGAATATTGTAATAAAAAGCACACTTTGTATATAAATCAAGCCATGCTATTAAGGGATTATGAAGTTCAACTCAAAACTAAGACATAGAAATTCAGTACTATAACAAAGACTCCTAAACACCAAGTAACATATGAGAAATGTTATTTACCTGAATTTATCTATCTTAATTCTATATGGTACTTAAACATATATTTTCCACTAAGAAAAGGACAATCCAGTTTTGTTTTACCACTTTCTGATATTTTTTTTCATCCACATGTTTTTCCCGGATGTGTTGATCTGTTGATTGTGACAGGAATTGACTGACCGGCTTGTTGCCCAAGCCTCACGTCATGGGCTGGGAGTGAGTGACTGGCCCAAGGTCACCCAGCCAGCTTTTGTGCCTAAGGCGGGACTAGAATTCCCAGTCTCCTGGTTTCTAACTTGGAGCCTTAACCACTAGACCAAACTGGCTGAAACTTTCTGAAACCATTTTCTGAAATGTACTTGTATCCAATCATATCTGCCTGCCCAGTACGTTCCAACAGAGCCAGCATGCTCCAGGCCCCCTCCATTAAATGTTGCCCTCTTGTGGGACCTAGGAAACGGGCCTCCTCTGTTGCGGCCCCTACCCTCTGGAACAGCTCCTAGAATTCCAGAAAACTTGAAAAACCTGGTTTTGGGGTTGATGTTCGTTATTTGTTTAATGGCCCCTGTTTTGTTTTGTGGATTTTGTTATTAGAGCATTTTAGTCCTGTTGATTTAATATTTTTAGCTGTTTTTGTGTCTTTTTTAGCTTTGCGTGCCACCCAGAGTCCGTTGGAGTCAGGCCGCCAAAACATTTAAATAAATAAATAAATAAATAAATAATGACATCATGCAAATGTTGTGACATCTGATACAAGTACATAGGTCACGCCATTTTCATGCTGATCTCATAATATGCATACAGGTAGTCCCCGGGTTAAGAATGCCCAGTTTACAGATGATCCATAGTTAAGAAGAGAGCCTATCATAGCAAAATTTGAGGTAAATATACAACGGTTCAAGTTAATTACAGAATATTATTTATACAGTATTCTACAATAATACTGTTCCAGCTTACATACAAATTCGACTTAAGGACAGACTTTGGAAACGGAACTTGTTCTTCAGCTGGGGACTACTGTATTATCATTTGCCCTACTTGCTTCCCCTAGGGACATCCATGAAGGTGCATAAAATTGTGACTTTGCTGATCATGTGGGTCAATACACCAATGAAATGTTGCTTTCCTTCTAGGTGAACATGTTTGTCGAAGGATTCCATGATGCTGTGGTTCTCTATGTTCTGGCTTTACGGGAAGTTCTGAAGAATGGCTTCTCTAAGAAAGATGGAGATAAGATTGTCCGTCAGACATGGAACAGGACATACGAAGGTAGGTCCAATCATATATTCCATGCAAATTTTTTATAGTTTTGTTTTGGCAAAAGCTTTCACTTTTTATCCTTGTTTTTTCATAGTAGAGATTATGATTCCTGGGTTTTGTTGGTCAACCTTTCTAGATAATTGAAATGAAAAGCCAATTGCTTCTGCCAATATGATAAAAGAAGATATTTGTGATTGATTGATTGATTTTGTTAGCCATTTATAAGACAGATATGTCATACAAAATCTTACCTTTGCAGCATAAAATACAGTATCAGCCCAGGAGTTAAAACAAACAGTTCAGGAGCTTCAAGTACCAACAAAGTCACAGGGATCAAAGAGAGAACAAAAGAGGTCAGATTGAAGTGGTTATCAGAGGAAAAATTCTAGATAACTTTAAGACAACAAAAGGTTTCCATGGAAGGAAGTTTCTGTGAGAAGAAAACACTTTGTAGGGTTTCACAGAGTGAAACCAACCCTTTGAATTGGGCCTGGAAACAGCTGAAACCCTGAGAGTTGAAATGGAGCATTTAGTTTTGTGATTCTTGAAACAAAAAAAGTGGTAACTTAAAAGAAGGAAGTATGAGGATCTCTGAGAAGTTTGTTTAAAACAGTGTTTTTCAAACTTGGCAACTTTAAGATGTGTGGACTTCAGCTTGCTGGCTGGGGAATTCTGGGCAACTCCAGAAGTCCACACATCTTAAAGTTGCCAAGTTTGAAAAACACTGATTTAAATCATCTTCACCCCTTAACCTTTTGCCTCTAGTATGCTACCTGAAAAGCTGTCTCCTGCATCTGACTGTGTAGTATACAAAAAAATAAGAGAGTGGGGCGTGTTGAGTGTAATCACAGTATGTCGACAACATCACACACAGTGCAGCTTCTAAACACAGTTTGCTTAGCTCTCTGTTGTACCCACGTTAACAGCACCAGTATCAAAAATCAGTCATTTTCAGCAAAAAGAAGTCCTTATAACAGTCATTTAGCAGTTCTTGGCGCCTTCTCTGTTTTCCAAGTCTGTGACTAACTTTTTTCATGTTCATTAATTAGCTTGCTTCATTACATTACTTCACTTATTTTTCACTTAGTTTTTTAAGCTTAAAAGCTAGGTTTGATAAAAATGCCCAGATGCCAATTCCCTATTACCTGTTTAATTTTCAGTGTTAGTGTTCAGTTTTTTTGTATACTATTTTAGGTTTCAAAAATTTCACTGTGCATTTGGAGAGCAAGGCTTCCATTTTTTTCTTTCAACTCTGGCGTTTGTGCCTGATTATTGAAACCTCTGCTCTCAGTCCTACAAGCCTTATAATGTATAAATTTATGCAAACCTGATATCCACATAGAACTAAACTCTAAAAAATAAGCAGGACATTCCTGGTAAGACCGGGAGCCCTTGTCAGATTCATTGGTCATTATGTACTGGGCAAAATTTCCAAGATTTTCAGTGGAAGTACTTAAAGAGACGGAAATGTTTCCTTTAGATAAGAACCCAACAATGAGTTCAGAAACTGGAATGGCTTTGAAAAACATAATCAGCCATTTTCTCAGCTGCGGTTACTTTTTTTTTTTTTTTAAGGAAGAAAGCATTAAAGGAAATGCTCTAGTAGAAGGGAAGTGTTAGATTAATGGTAGGGTTGCAGTGAAATATCATTTCATCTGGTATGCATTTTGAAATGAACTCCCTATTCCACATTTCCTCGATGAGCAATTATGTAGACTGCACTTCTCAAAATTGGATAATGGGCTTTTCAGGTCCCAAGATATGCAAAGAAGTATGTATTTTGGGAGAAATGGTATATGAAAAGGAATGTTTTTTTTTCTTTTTTTAACATGCAAAGAAGGGCAGAATGCATTTACAACTGAACACATAGCAGTTTGGCATAGCCTAATCTGTCTGTCTTTATCTGGAAGGGAAAAGAAAATACCCCCTCTAAATCTTTATTTTAGCCTTCTTCAATCTGGCATGTTCTGGATGCTGGAACCACAACTCTCATAATTCTCAGCAAGGAATTAAGAGACATTTTAGTATAATGATATCTGGAAAATATCAGGTTACATGTCAAGCCAAGAGCTTGTGTGTATTTTCTCCGTAAACATGCCCAAGTACTTCAGTGCCCCACATTTCAAAAATGATAGCACAGAGAAGGTCCATTGATTTCACTGAAAACAGCAACAGATGGACACTTCACTAGTATACACAACTTTAGGAGTTGGATATGCAGACAGCCAGTGGTGCAGTAGCTACTGTACAAGATTGGGATGTGGGAGGAACAGTTGGCTGTTTTGGCTGCTCTCTCTTTGTCTAGTTTTTTTGACAGAGTTTCTGCAAGGACAGAAGAGGGAAAGAACAATGCATTCACTATTTTAGTTCTACAGATTCTTTTTTTTTTTATGGTGCCTTCAAGTCAGTGTTAATTCCTGGCAACTGGCTGAACTAGTCTCTGGTGTTTTCTTGGCAACGTTTTTCTAAAGTGGTTTGCCATTGCCTCCATCCTAGAGCTGAGAGAGAGTGACTGGCCCAAGGTCACCCAGCTGGCTTTGTGCCTATGGTGAAACTAGAATTCACAGGCTCCTGGTTTCCAGCCTGGTCATTAACCATTATGCCAAACTGGCTCTCTAATTCTACAGATAAGGATCCTTAAAATTCTTTTGACTTCAAATAAGCAACAGTGAGCATCCTCAGATTTTTCAGAGCAAGGTTTCTCCATGTAAATTAATTTCCAACATAATTTTTCTATTAGGAAGTGTCAAATTATTTTAATTAATAATAATTAATTATTATTAATTATTTTCCACATATCCCTGCTAATAAGCTGAGATAATTTATCTTTTTGAAGAGGAAATGTTACATATTTTAGGAATGTAGACACAATTACAGTCTCTTGGAATGCCAGCCAGAACCCTGGAAGACTGCTAGGATTCCTTACCATATCAGTCTGTAAAAATTCTGCCCTCTCTTTATTTTATTTTTCTTGGAAACGTTCAATATTTTCAACTGAAAGTACACACGTACATACACACACACACACAGATCTATATATATATATATATTGTTCTTCAGGCATTGCTGGGCCAGTATCTATAGATGCCTCTGGAGAAAGGTTTGGGGATTTTTCTGTGGTTGCCATGACTGATCCTGAATCTGGAACACAGCAGGTAAGTGTGCAAATGTTTCTAAATCAGCTTTGACCATCTTTATGCCCTTCAGATATGTTGAACAGGCTCCCACCATGGACAGCAAGATGGCCAGATCTGGGAGCTGAAGACCAACGCCTCTGGAGGACATCAACTTCAGAAACGCTGTTCTAAATTATACTTTAATGTATAAATTTACATAGATTTCATGGAAACAGGACAAGAATATACTTGTCCTGTTTCATTAAATCTTTGAATGGCCTCTAGATTCTAGAAACTCTAGGTATAACAACAACTACTCCTACTGAATAGGAATTTGAACTATTCCTTCCCTGGTCCCAAGTCCAGTACTCTAATCATGTCACAAAATTGCTTCAGTTTTATATTTGGCAACTCATAGAAATCTGGTGTGATTTAGAAAAAATTGAAAAGCAGCAAATAGGAAGCTGAAGAAGATTAAGGGAGTGAATTCATTTAGCTTTTATCCAGGACCCCCCCCATTATAATTAAATAAAGCATAATTCAAACTAAATAAATAAATACATAAATAATGATATATTAAACATATTCCACCCAACTCTCAACAACTCTGGGCAGCTCACAACAATCAAAGAAATTACAATTATAGCAATAAAACATAAAAAATTAAGGTAAGGCCAAGTGTGATAAAGCGAGGGGGCTCACTCTCCCTCATCAAAGGCCTGGGTCAAGAGCCAGGTCTTCATGGCTCTTCTAAATAACAGCAAAGTGAGAGCCATCTGGTTCTCAGGAGGAACCTCATTCTAGAGGGCAGGTGCTGCTGCAGAGAAGGCACACTTCCGGGGTCCTGAGAGATGACGTTATTTAATCGAAGGAACCCGGAGCACACCAAGCCTGCAGGATCAAATTGGCCAGGCAGATATTATGGGAGACGGGCGGTCCCTCAAATAACCAGGCCCTAGGGCTTTATAGGTAACAATCAGCACCTTGAATCACACCCAGAAACAAACTCGCAATCAGTGCAGCTTGTGAGGCAGAGGTGTTACATGGGCATATCAAGGCATACCCATCACTGCCCACACCACTGCATTCTGGACCAGTTGAAGCTTCCAAGTATTTCAAAGAAAATGGAATGGTTGTTGGAAATGGCCACAGATTTTTCTTTCTATTCATGAGCCTTTTACTCAGTAAGGAATCTGGCCAAATCACTTACATTTCTTATTTTATTGGCTTAGGTGAAATAATTGAATCCTGGACACAAAATATTCTTGACTTTAGAAGAGTCAGAATATAGTCTGTATCTTGCATTATCTATTTCTTTTAAACCAGTTAAATAAAGTGTTTAGATCGATCTAGTGTTATTTTAACTTATGCAAGTCTTATACATTTACAAAACAAATAAGGAACTTCTTAGCTCCCTAAAAAAACCTAATACATGTGGGTTGGAAGAAACTACTATTCACACATAGGCATACACAATGTACATTTCTGGATCTACAGAAACAAGTGACATAGTATGAAGAGTTCATATACTCTGACTCAACGCCATCTTGAAAAGGTTAGAAGAATAAGTTGGCATAGCCATGAGTGACACATTTTAAAACATAGGCACCAAACTAACCATAATGACTAGCTATTGTGGACATCAAAAACATGACCCCAACAAGAGTGTTTAAGTATTGGCATTTTAAAGCAATAGATCATAACAACTGCAAGGAGGAATACAGAATCCTTGTTTCGCAAATATTACATTCTATAAAAATAGACTGCTCTGCTTAGATAAGATTGCATGATAGAAAAGTGAAGTAAAATACATGCATGACATGTATTTCCCATAGAATTCCATGTTTTCCCTGTGCCATATAGCAAACTAAAAATTAATAATAATTGCGCATAGGAAGAAGATGAAGAATAGGGAAGACAATCTGCTAGCATCCTGATGCTTTGAATTATCCTCACAGTCTCTTGCAAGTGATGAGCAAACGAGCTATAATTTAAACTGGAACAAGGTGAGCAGACTTGCTCTCTTTTTCCCCCAAGGGGAAAGACTAGAACCAATTTACTAAGGTCAGCATTAGGAGAAGCTTCTGAATAGTAAGAGTGATTCAGCAGTGGGAACAGATTGCTTAGCAAGGGGGCAGGCACTCTTATGCTGGCAATCCTTCATCAGAAGCTGGAAGGCCACCTAAGAGGGGTGTTGTGCTTGCAAGATTCTTTTCAATACTATTACAATAAGTTTCTCCTGTCATACTCTGGCTTTAGAATTTGAGATTCTAAATTTGAGAAATGAAGATCTGCCTATAGATCAGTATCTGCCTATAGTCAAATATAGATTCCTGTTTCCTGTTAGTTTACTAACCAGGTTTTAAAACAAAGAATCTGCAGTTATAGAACCTGGCAAATTAGAACAAATCAGGTAACAGTTTCCTGTTTTCAACATAATGGGGAAATGTTATTTTCTTTAATCAGGACTGAAGCATTGAAGCCAGTGCTCTGAGAGAGGGGAAGTAAGTGCATTTCTGGGTTTATGACTCAGGCGTCATCGCATCCAAACTGTCAAGCTGTCTGACATTCTAGAAAAGATGCCATTCTGTTGAGCTTCTACTGGGGAAGTAGCTTCTATTAACAGAACGGAAGTAATTACTTTCAGATTATTATAATCTGCTGCTCAAGCTGTTAAAATTAGGGAAATGTAATGTCACCTTGTTGAACTGCAAGTTCAATGGGTTGGTTTGATTTGGCATGGATGAGGCTATTTGTGCTATTATCTTATTCATATAACCTTTTGACTGCGTTTATGATATTTTGATGTTTGATGCCATATACTGAAAATCTACCCTCTGACTTCCATAAAGTTTTCTTTTCTCTGCAGAAAAGATTTTGCTTTTGTATCTTGTTATCAGGGTGTTATAGAAGTATTTCTGATCTTACTTTATGGCTGCAAGGATTTTTTGTTAGGCATTTCTCTATCACCTTCCTGGCTACCCACATTTCCTAACTGGAAGAAATTCCAGATAAGAGTTCCTTCACTGATCTTTCCTCCAGGGCTTCATTGAAATGTGGGAAGTTAGAGAGTTTGCAAGCAGCTGGGGAAAGATGCTTGAACAGTAAAAGACAGAACATTCAGACCCTTCATTACTAACAAATATAAGAACCCTGCTCCAAATCCAAGAGAACTTCACCTCTGCTTTATAAAGAAAGTAGATCATTTCCATCAAGCTGAATGAGAAAGGTTAAAAAAGCAATTGAGTAATAAAATATTAAAATGGAAGATGTCAGAAGAGAACTACAAAGGCAATGAAAAGTCCAGAGGTCATCTGAGGAAAGACCAAAGGTTTCAGAAGCCAAAGCTTAGAAAAAGTGTTCATGAACAGAAAGGATCTTATTGACTCCATTCTCTGCAGATGCTCCTGTTCAGCTCTCATCTCAGGCAGGAACAACCATTGCAGGGTTAGCAACCATTTGTTAACTTTCCGTTTCCCTGTAGAAACATCTCTCTTTTCAAATTCTGATTACTTTCCCTTTTGAACAGGTTGACATCATTCATTTTGCTATGTTTGCCCCAGCTCTGATTTATAATATTCCCCTCTCTTTGATGATGCTGGTGACAGTGCTTGTTTACTTGGGAGATTTCTTCCCACCACTCATGAAAACTTTATTTCCTAAGTGGAACATAGCCAAAGTAACTTAGGTCTTTATCTGATCACTTGGTGTTTACAAGGAGGTTACTTTAGGCCCCAAAAAATGGCCAAGGCACATGATAGAAAACCCTGATAACTACAGATAAATAGCCAAAATGTCTCAGATTGTAATGACACCCTGATAGCTCCTCTGTTACAGCTACAGGAAGCAACTTTGTATGTGGATCCACAAACACAGATGGATTGCAAATGTTATTTACTCTCAAGGTCTGCATAATTTCAGTGACTTGGTTTTGCACCAAACAAATCTTAGTGTTTTGGACTAGGCTGGAATTGTTGTTGCTGTCATTACTATTACCATTATTAAGTTCTTCCACAAGCTGAATAAGATTTTTGATTTTCTGCTTTTTTTTGCCTGTCTTAAGATAGGGCAAAGAGAGTTACATGATTTACAAAGTCTGTCCCAAGTCAGTAAAACAGAATCATTAAGGTTCTTTGCTGGACTTCTGATGGAGATGTAAAAATAAAAAAGCAATGAGGATGGATGGATGGATGGATGGATGGATGGATGGATGGATGGATAATAAATGATAGATAGATAGATAGATAGATAGATAGATAGATAGATAGATAGATAGATAGATAGATAGATAGATAGATAGATGGTAGACCTTTCTACCTTTTCCTAGCAGTATGTTGTTACCATTTTGCTGTATATTTTTTATATTCAGGTGATTGGAAACTATTATGGAAAACAGGGGCGCCTTGAAATGTTTTCAAGTGTAAAGTACCCCTGGGAACACAGACTGAAAACAGATGATAGCCGAGGACTGGAGCATACGAGCAATGCAGCCTGCAAATCATGTAAGTTTAGTGAGGTTAATTTATGGGTTTCTATAATCCACCAGGCTGATAGTCTGTGCTTGTACTGTTGTATTTTACTAGCAGCATTATTCTGTCCAATGTTTGGGTCATGTCCTGTGTCCTGAAAAAGGACCTACATCCTTTCTTTCTCCTGCTAAGGCCAAGCAGCTGATACTGAGACATGGGTGATGAGCTGTGGTTTTTTAATGTATCCCCAAGAAACATTTTCCCCAGGCTGTGGTCCCCAGACATCCTAGTGTCACAGTTGCTACACCAGGAAACAAAATGTGCAGAAGGCAAATGACCACAAAGGAATATTAGTCCTTTTTTTTTTTTTTCCTGGTATTTCAGTAACTGGAAGTCAGACCGTCAAAAATAAAGCAAGTAGTGCGACAGAACAAGAAGGCAAGGCTATTCCTGTTCCGAGTCCAGGTCAAGTCCTGACTTTATCAGAGAGAACCGCATCTTGTCTGTTTCAGGTTGTGTTCACTAAGGGACAGCTAACAGGATGGACCTGGATGGACCTGCCATTTATCATTTAGGCAAGCAGGCCCTTCCTTTCAGACAGGCATAGCAGGAATAAGAGGAGATCTCCCTAAATTGCTGATCTTCTTTTCATAAATTTAGCTAGGTTATCTGTTTCGTTTAATAAGTGTATGGGTGAACTAGTGGAAACATGTACAAGAAGATATTCTGTGGGTACAAAAAATGATTGCAAGTCATCTTAAAATAATTCAGTGAGAATGATAAATCTACAGGTCTTTGAGACATACTACATATTTCAGAATAGGAAAAATGCTTACCTTCTGTTAAAACAAGGCATTTCTCTGTTAGAGTGGTCAGGGAGTTTCACTGATTTGGGAAGGAGATTGTGTGTCAACAACAATTCCAAAATAAACATAAATCATAAAAGAAAAGAGTAAAACTAAAGAAAAAAGAACATTTTAACCTCAACTAAAAACTAAGCTTCAAACAAATCTGTACATAATTCAGTAGTTCTGCAAGATTTTGTTGTTGTTATTGGATTCCTTTTGTTCACTTATTTTTCAAGCAGGTGGCCTAGGAGAATCAGCAGTTACCGGAATAGTCGTAGGTGCCTTGCTAGGGGCAGGATTGTTGATGGCCTTCTACATTTTCAGGTTGGTTTAATTTTAACAACCATTATCTTCAAATGTCTGTCATTTCTTCTCCCAAAGAATGCAATAGGAGAAAGTCTGCAGACAGGCACATTGGGTTCTATCCGATGGAGAGGGATTATGAATTGATCCAAGCGCCCTCTAAGGTTGCTGTAATTGAAAGGAAATTTCCTGAAAGTCAGCCTTGTTATAAGATCCCGCAACAGCTGGAAACCAGAAGTGAAATCAACAAGGCAGCCTTTATATTAATCGAGCTGAACATAATTTAAGGTACCATATTAGGTAAAAAGAGTACATAGCTGCCAGATCACAGAGAATTAAGAAAAATATTTTCAGGTATAGCACCATTTGTTTATTTTAGTAGATTATTATGAAAGAGAAGAAGAGGCCCTAGGGAGGGGGGAAATGGGAAAGGGGGTTTCCTCTTCCCTATGTTATTTTCCTTTCAAATTTTTCTTTCTCACTTTTTTTCATTCTTCTATACACCCCCCCCCATTTTTCTCAGGTTCCTTTTTTGTTAATTAATATATATATTAATTAAGAATTTCAATTATAATAGTAAAATCTAATACTATATAAACTAAACTTAAAGAAAAGAGAACAGAAAGGTGTAAAAAGTAAAAGAAGAAAGAAAGAG